CTTTTTTAACTCAAAGCTAACTGAATCTCAATATTATCAATATAACTAAATAATATTACTCAATTATTCTTATACATTACATCAAAATTAATTCCTTATAATTAATTCACATAATTTTAACTAACCAACATTTCACATTATATAAACTCTCTCATACTTTTAAATCAAATTATCTTTAGTTATTTTATTTTAATATAAACTCAAAATCTCTCTAACTATAACCATACCAATTATTTTTTAAATTAACTATCAAACCAAAAAAATTAAAAAAATCAAAACATCTTATATCCAAGCATTAATCCATCAAAGTTACTCTGTCTTGATTCAAGTATTACTCGATTAAGGCTCATTTGAGTGGAACTTAGGGGAGGTATATTCATTTGGGATTTCTAAAGACTTTTTAAGATTTTAAATATCCTAGTGTATTTAATTTAGACATTTTAGGATGTATTCATTTGGGATTCCAAAAAAAATTTTAAGACTTCAAATCATGGTGTATTTAATTTATACTTTATTAAGACTTTGTAAAACTTTTAAAAGTTTTGAGGTATTCATATGAGATTTGAAAAAGTCTTTCAAAATATTGAGATATATAACTTATTTGAGACTAGAATTTGTTAAAGACTTTTTGAGATTTGTTGGGATTTATGAAGAAAAAAACCTTACACGAAATCCCACTCAAAATCCTACCTCCAAAATTAAGATTTCACCAGATTCTTCAACATCTAGAATTTTAAAAAGTCTCAAATCTCAAAATCTAAAAATGTCACTCGAAATTTTAAAAAAATACACCCCCTAAAAGACTTGGTATTCATTTGGAATTTTAAAAAGTCTTACAAAACCTTGAACAATTTAACTTGTTTGAGACTAGGATTTATTAAGATTTAAAAAAAAAAAAAACCTTATATGAAAAATTTGAACTCTAGACTTAAGATTTCACATGATTTTTTCAAAATCTGAAAATTTTAAAAACTTTGAAATAATGTTGTCGTCAGTATTTAATTCGACTTTCTCATAATTGTATATAGATGTGAAGTTCTAAAGTTTCTCAACTATGTACTCTTTCACCATTAACCAAAGGTTTTCAAGTTAGGGAAACCATAGATAACTAAAATTATGCAGTTGTCTTAATTTACTATTTAGTTCATTTTTTGTGCTTTTAAATTTTTATTTCTTCTTGTTAGCCTCGTTGGTGTAATGTTAATTTATTGTTCGCACATTCTGAGATCTAATTGTGAGCTCTAGTCTGGAAATCTTGTGAGTCCAAAGTCCACACAAGAATGAGTTTTTTATACTGTTACTTTTGTTTTATCTACACAGATTTGGCTTTTTCTGCAGGGATAAAATAGTAACGGCCTCGTTATTCTTGTTTGGAATAAGTTATTCATGTTTTGGAAACAGAGTTGGGAAGCTTTGCTTTGTTTAGTTTGACAACTATATCTTCTTTATAGTTTATAGCTTCCAAATAAGTTCAGTCTTGCTAAAATTTGCAATGGCTGTGTACTTTCATTGATGGGGAATAATACTGATGAACAGATATTAAGGTTATAGAGAACCGGTGTGGAAGACATAATGTGGCAAGGAGAAAGACGGTTTGATTTTGGATTTCCTTTTCTTTTCGTTTCCTTTCTTTCTGATTCAGTTTTTCCAGGCTATGGATCTTTCCTCGTTAGTTTTGCTTGGAAACAACTGTTATTTGAAAATTTACTACTACAAATTAAAGACGCGTGTGAAGTAAAATGAATGACCCCAGAATTAAGGACGGTATTCTCAGAATATCATCACTACTGTCCTATATGTTGCCTCTTGCATTCCATGCTTNCCAAAAAAAAAAAAAAACAATTAAATAAAATTCATTTACAAAATTAGAGAATACGACGAATAGCTTTAGAAAATACCGACCGGTTTTAGAAAGTCTCCAGTGGTAATCCCCATTGACAGCCCAGAAGAAGTGGCCGCGCAGCTTCAATTTCTGGGCAACGTCAATCTTCACCCCAACCGACCGCACATCATCGTACCAAACCCGACACCGCGTACGCCGACACAGTCTTGCGATCATAAACCTCAGTCGCATTATTCAGACTCACGATCTGCCCGTACGTCATCGTCCGCTCATCCCCACTGCCGGCGTCTCGTTGGCCGACTCGAGCTTCCAAGTCCTCTCGTACATCGACAGTCCCATCACCAGCTTCTCCGCCGCCACGCCAGCCTATTATGTACCTATAACATTTCTCTTATTTTCTCAAGTTCATAAGTTTCGCGTTGTAATAGAAACACATATTGTGTAACAAGACCTTGACGGACTGGACAGCGTCATGTCTGCCGCGTAGTACACGGCGGCCGTGATGAGGAGCCGCGGCCTGGAAGGCCGCTGCTTGGCCTCACGATCGACGGCCTTGCGCCACTCCTGGAACAGCCGCCCGAGGTTTGGAGAGGGAGGAAGTGAAGAGAAGAAGTAAGAAGTAAAGTGTGGTGGAGGTGGAAATTAGTGTGCCGGCGGTCCCCATTGCTAAATGCATATATGCCACCACTATGTATGTGTGTGTGTCTTGTGGTCGGAAGAAAGAGGATTGTATGCAAGAATATATATAGTGGGGATTGGAATGAGGAAACTCAACTACGATCAAGTCATACTGTACAACACTATTAATGCACCGTTGAAAATATTGTTCCACCATTGAAATGGATGGATTGATTGTCGGATATGGTGTTGGACCATTGACATGGACGGATTTGTTTGTCTGATGTGGTTGAAACTGTCAGAAGCACACGCGTCTTCATCGAGGCTTCAATAGAAAAAGCAAGTTTGATCGGATAAATAATAGGGGCAATTTCTTTTTACACATATATAGATATTCATAAGAATCGGGAAAACATGTGCGGTAACATGCACGTGAAGTGCATCATAAGAGGATGAACCAATGTGCACCTCAGTAAGGTTCCATCTCAAAACTAAACTCTTTCATGGTATCAGAGCGGGTCTAAACTAGGACCTGCGATGAGATACTCTTCATCCGACCTGCTCTGTGGGCTTGGATTTCGTATGAAGGACTCAAAAGTGAGGGGACATATTAGAATATCACTTGTCAGTTGCCACACATCCATGAAAATGAACTTAGATTATAAGTCTACTAGGCTACTCTTCCTATCACCAAATTAGTTTTGGGATGAAATCTCACTAAGGTGCACCAAGACTCACCCTCTTATAGTACGCTTTTTGTGCATGGGACCGTATTCGTTTCCCTCGATTCTTTCAATATTTATAAATAAAAAATGCTCATTAACTGATATTTAAAAATCAGAAATGAGGAATCAATATGTAATGTAATTTAACTATATTAATTTATTAAAAATTTTATATTAAATTTAAATTGCGCAAAAATTACATAAAACATATCTGTTTAAAATTAGTACACAAATTGTACATGCACGTAACTGATAATAAATTACATTATATTCATTTTAAAATTTTTATTCAAAAACTCGATTTGACTACAATGTGATTCCATAAAATAATTATTTTGGTAAAATTTTATCATATATTTAAAAATCTATTTAAATAATAATCTAATTATAAAACTTATATTGTTTCATTAATTAAAATGAATTTATTTTTTTATAAACTATCCTCTTGATGGTGGCTGCGGACCCAATTTTCCCGATCTAGGGATTGGGGTGGAGAATGTCTACTTTGGCCATTTTGCTCTCCTCAGTTATGGTGTTAGGCGGAGGAGTCGGCTGTCCATGGTGGTTGCGGGCTAGGTTGTTGTGCTCGAGGTCCGAGTCGGTGTTGACGTTTGGGTGGTCTTTGGGGGTGCTGGTCTCCTGGTCTTGAGGCGTTGTCCGTTTGCACGAAGGTTGGGTCCGATGGTACTCGACCCAGTTAGGCGTCCTCTTGTTTATGAGTCGGGCTCCTGGGCCGTGACTCTGCCATTGTTGTGCTTTGTGAGGCTTCCTATTGCGGGAAGGGCTGTAGTCAGTGACAGATCTAGGAATTTTATCGTGGGGGGTCCAATTAAAAATAACAAAAAAAAATCAACCGTATAAATAAATAGATCAGTGCAGCACAAGTACTTACGATTACTTACGATATAATACATATATCCAAGTATTCGAGAAAAATAACTTTGATAATGTCACACCCCGCCTCACTACTAGCTTTGAAAAATCAGAGTAAAATTTTTGTTTTTAATTTTCGAAAGAATGTGCGAGCTGAGTTTTCGAAAATACTGACTTATTGCGGGATGTGGTAGATAAATACTTAAACTGAACTCGGGCTTGCCCGCAGACATAATAAAAACATGCAACCAAACTATCCGCTCGCGGATTATGGAATTATACATGCGTAGTCTGTACTGTCTCGCACTGTCTAGAAAACTCGCTGGCGGAAGCTTCCGAAATACGAATACATAACATGCGTACATAAACTGAATTAAATACACATGATCATAAGTCTAGGACATAAAAATGCTGGTAAAATATGTCCGACTCTCATGACCACGCTGCGCCACATCTGTGCTCATCCGTCACGCTCGACTCCGTCTCCTGAAAAACACAATGGTGAGCAAACCACTATGCTCCGCAAAGACAAGTACTGAACAAAACATCATCTATAATAACGTATCATGAAACATAAATATATAAGAGCTGAAACTGTAAACTGATCTCTGATGTCTGTTCTGATCTGTGGTCAAAAGACCCTCGGCCGTAGCCGCTCGTGTGCACACGCCGATGGGGTAGAAAGGGCCTCGCCCCTCCCAACGGTCATCAGGTGGGTATAAAGGCCTC